TTTATTATGTATTACATTCTGTTACATCTAGTTATTGTATGTAATTATGTGGTACCTCAGTCTGTGGGACTGCTGCATAGTCCTCAGGGCTGACAGAGACAGAAAAGAAACATGAAAGGGAGCAAAAGGGGTGACTGACTCTTTTCCTGCTGATTTTGAGCATAGGGAAAGAGTAACTGAGAGACACAAGATGGGGCAGAGATGTGCTGGAAGCTCTCTTTTACATAAGCATCTAAACCACACTAGTGTGGTTGGACATCTTCTTCCTGCATGTGCCTCACTGTAATTCAACAGGTTTTAGTAACTCAGGACTTAGAAGTTGGGGTGTTCCCAAAGGAGTTTCAAAGTTGCAATGGAAGGAAAATTGAAGCTTGGCAGTTGTTAGGGTTTGGGTAGTAAGTAGCACAGAATATTACCCAGCTCAGGCATCATGAAGTAGCTTTTGTAGAGCCACTTGGAAAAATTCAAGCTCCAGTGATGGTCTTGTTCTTAAATACTGTCAGTAATCAAGTCAAAAAGGACATGGAATTTGGAGGTTTTCTAGTTGATAGCAGGTTGTGTGTGTACAGTGCCAGGGGGTTTTCATCTTCCCTTGTTCTCTCTTGATTTCTTTCAAATTCTTCAGGGATCCATAAATTTTGTACTTCTATGCGGTTTTCCAAGGACAAGGGTAGCTTCTTCAAGCATCCTTCTCATTATCAAAGTACATTCTCTGTTGGAGGTGGATTCCTCCTTTTATAGCTCTGTCAAGGCCTCCTAGATGTTGGAGTTTGACAAAATAATCAAAATTTTCAAGGTCAAAGAGTATATTCAATGTTCAACCAACTCACATTGTATTGACTGCTTTTACATTTTTACACTCTCAAAGTGATTCTGAAAGTTAATGACACAAAACAACAGAAAATACATGGTGAGTAGATAATATGAAGATGTATGCGACTGATAGTGAGTTATTGGACAAGACAAAGATGATTCTTGACCAGGCACAGAGAGACAGAGAGAGAGAAGCAAACTGTATAGGAATGATGCTATGATGCTCCTTGGTACAAGTATGTGTAGATGTTCTGAGAGTGAATTATACTTGTATGTGAAGATACATATCAACAAAAGTAACCTAGTGTTTTTATTGTTGAAATCTAATAAACAGATTAAAAGAGTCAAAGTTTTATGGTATGAAAACAAGAAAGTTTAAGAAGTGCAATAGGAACATACAGTGGAGGAGGGATAAAAACTTATCTATTGGATTGAGGCCCCTCACCTTTTCAGCAGTATATATACATCTATTGCTCTGACAACTGAGATCACTATTATTTTATTCAGATCTTGAATTTATATATATATCTATATATTTACGTTTCTTATTCTATTTTTATTTACTTAGCTCATTTGAACTTGTTCAATACTTCATTTTTCTTTTATTTTGGAATCTATAAGGTTTAATTTTAGGGAATTTATAAATAATGCCCATATTTTTTTCAATACCTCAATGTCTAAAATATTTGGCTGGAATACTTGAAATATGGCTCTCCAGACTATCTTTTTTCATGAATTTCTATCCACTCCAGCCAATTAAAAAGGTTACATTCCAATTTGGTCAAAAAGACACTTTCTGGTCAATTCCATCCCCATTTTGGGTGTGATCATTGAACATAATGACAACCTTTTTTTTTTTTTTTTTTTTTTTTTTTTTTTTTTTATTCATGATGGGCACCATAAAATTGCACTGTAATAAAATGGATGGTCCCTCATGCAGTGTCAACTGAAAGAATTGAAAGGTTTTTTTTTTT